CCTGACCAATCATAGTCCATGAATCTTTGCTCCGCCCATCATCTCTCTCTGGCCACGCCCCCTGACCTCGTGGTCTCTACAACCTCCCCGTTTGGGCTTTGCTCTCCACCCACTCGGTGCCTAACCCCTGGCAGTGGCAGGAACCCTGGCCCCGCCCTTGGTCACGCCCCCCTGACCTGGCCTCTGCGACAGGTTCCACACCATGTCCATCATGCTGGCTGTAGACATCCTGGGCTGCACCGGCTCTGCTGAGGAGCGGGCAGCGCTTCTGCACAAGACCATCCAGCTGGCCGCAGAGCTTCGGGGGACCATGGGCAACATGTTCAGCTTCGCTGCGGTCATGGGCGCCCTGGATATGGCCCAGGTACGGAGGGGCCCTGGCAGAGCGGGTTCAGGGGGACTGTCGCCCTGGGCTGATTTCCTTCGGGATGGCTGTGGAGTGATTCCGGAAGAACTCAGCAGCATTGGGGAAAGGGCTCCTGGAAGAGTGGGTTCTCTAAGTGCTGACCTGCTCCGACACCAAGTCTGCCCCTTCTGTGGGCCTCAGTCTTCCCACCTGTAAATGCATGAGGTGCATATAGGAGTGTCAGTCATTTAGTGAGCACTTACTGTATGCTGGGTGCTAGTGCTACACTAAGTATTTTACAAGCACGGATTCCTCAAAACAATCTCGAGGTAAATGTCTTTATTGTCCCCATTTTACTGATGGAGAAATTGAGGCAGAGCAGTACTTGCCTAAGGTCACACAGTCAGAGGCTGAAAAAGTTGGGATTAGAACCAGGTCTGTCTTAATTTCATAGCCCAAACCTCATCCACACTGCACTTCCTCTCCTATGCCTAGTAAATAGTAACAATGGGGTCCGACAGGCCGTGGGTCAGCTCCCAGCTCTACCACTTATTTCTGGAATGACCTTGGGCAAGTCATTCCCTTCTCCGAGCCTTAGTTTCCTCATCTGTAAAATGGGTTGTGGGAGGGCTTCATGAGGACTTAGCACCGTCCCTGATACATGAATGGTGATCGTAATAACCGCGCATCTGGGCATCCACGCGGCAGGGCGGCCTGTGGCCCTTGCTGGCCGCTTCCCTGGCTGGTCGCTCACAGTTTGGCCTCCCCAGATTGCCCGGCTGGAGCAGACATGGATGACTCTGCGACAGCGACACACGGAGGGTGCCATCCTCTACGAGAAGAAGCTCAAGCCGTTTCTCAAGAGCCTCAATGAGGGCAAAGGTACCCCCCATGTTGCTGTGTGACCTTGCACAGGTTTCAACCCTCTCTGGGCCCGGCAAGACCTTCCGGTGTGGAAGATGAGAGCTTGACTGAGCTCTGTGCGAGCTATTCCTGCACTCACTCTGCACCTGGCAGCTGGCAGCCCCGTCCAGGCGTGGCCCTTGGGGCCGGGCCAAGGGTGCGATAGATTTAGTTGAAAGAATCTGAAAGGAAAGGTCTGTCCAGAAGTCAGGAGCCCTGGGGGTTTTCTGGGACCTCAGCAGGCCCCACCCTTTCCGCTTCTGTGTCTCAGTTTCTGGGGCCACAGTGGGCAGTGGGGCCCTCCAGGGTCTCTGAGAGCCTGCTGTCTCCCTCCTCGCAGAAGGCCCGCCGCTGAGCAACACCACATTTCCTCACGTCCTGCCGCTCATCACTCTGCTGGAGTGTGACACGGCCCCGGCCGAGGGCCCGGAGCCCTGGGGCAGCACGGAGCACGGCGTGGAGGTGGTGCTGGCCCACCTGGAGGCTGCCCGCACGGTGGCACACCATGGAGGCCTGTACCACACCAATGCCGAGGTCAAGCTGCAGGGTGAGTTCTTCGGGCCTGGGCCTCCCTCCACTTGCCTTGCTCTCCCCTTCCCTCCAAATGTTCATTCTCATTTTCCACCCCTCCTTCCTGCCCTGTCTCCCTGACTCATTTTTCTCATTCCTTTTCTTCCTCACTCATCATTTCAACAAGCAATTGTTAGTGGCAGGCACCAGGTAGACACAGATGATTCAAAGAGCATCAGAGCTGTGTGTCTTAGCTTCTCTGAGCCTCAGTTTTCTCATCTGTGAAGTGGGTGTTCTAACAGGCCCACTTTACAAGGTTGTTTGCAAAGTGCTACGCCTGGGGGCCTGGGGCTGAGACAGACCTGCCCTGCCTTCCAGGAGCTCTTAGCCCAGTCGAAAGGTAGAACTCTCAGGAAAGGAGCAGAGAAAGTGGCTTCAGATGATCCATCTTTTACTGCTTTAGGCATTACTTAGTCATACAAGTTTACTATAGACAAA